TCCTGGGGCGGGAGCTAACCCTGCTGCTGCTCCCCTGCTTACCCACTGATCAACTAGTTGATTAGATTAAATTTAATATCCCTAATGGGTTCTGGATCACTTCTGCTGGTGTTCCCCTGCCTTCGGATATGGTCGCTAGTCTTAGTTCCCTGGGTGAGCGCCCTGACTCTTCACCTTCAGGTCTCTGTTGGGTACTTTCTTCCTGGGGCGGGAGCTAACCCTGCTGCTGCTCCCCTGCTTACCCACTGATCAACTAGTTGATTAGATTAAATTTAATATCCCTAATGGGTTCTGGATCACTTCTGCTGGTGTTCCCCTGCCTTCGGATATGGTCGCTAGTCTTAGTTCCCTGGGTGAGCGCCCTGACTCTTCACCTTCAGGTCTCTGTTGGGTACTTTCTCGCTGTTGGGTTCTTTTTCTATGGCTGTTTCCAAACTGATGCTTTCCTGTTAAGTGAGAGAGAGAGAGCGTTCCAGCTTGGAAGTACCAGGGCGCAGGGGAAAGTGTATCCTGCTGTTGAAGCTTAAGGAAATCCTTGTGCATTTGAGGTTATGCTCCTGAAATGAGAGCATTAGCTCTACAGAATAAGGGCCCCCAACTTGAGGTTGTCTGAAATTCTCTCAGTCCATACAGAGAACCTGTACAGACTGGATGTCTTGGCTGGGCTGTTGTCCTGTGTCCCTCTAGCCCTCATTGACTAGAATGGACTCTGGTTAGTTTTTCTTCTCTCATTAGAAGGTAACCAGACCGCAGGCCAAGCCAGCTGCCACCAAATCCCAGCCCCAGAAGAAGGCTGAGAGCTCTTCCAGCTCGGACTCAAGCAGCTCAGAGGATGAAAAACCAAAGAAACAGCCACTGAAGCCAGCCACAGTTAAAACAGCAGCTAAATCAGGTACCTGGCTGCACTGTGCTGGGAGCAGATGTGTGTGAACAGCAAGCCCTGCACAGAACCTGGGGTCTAGGTGCCCAGAAGCCCTGGTTGAGAAGACACCATCCTAGCCCGGCCACTTGGGTGACTCGTTGCACCTTGCTGTTTGGCCAGGATCACCGAGGGAGGGATCTGAGGCTGCACTGGCAGCATAGATTAGTCTTAGATTCCTGGAAATCCAGCTGCGACATATTTGAATACATAATACAGTCACACAAGGGTGTGTTTACGTGGCTCTTCTAACTTGTGCGTTCACACCTTAAAGGCAAAGTATACAAATACAACAATCTCAAACACTTGTTTTTAAAACAGGTGAAAATATTTTCCCGTAAACATTTTAATTCACACCAGAGCAGTGCACGTGTTAACATTGCGCAGGCTTATTAGAAGGCAAGCAGCTGCGTCAGGTGTGCTGACACTGAAATCTTTGTAGCCAGCATGTGACAGAGCATCTCCCAACATTTTCAGTGTGGCATGTGACTGAAAGATGTTGACTTGGGAGGTGGCCATCTCATCATCTTGGCAAGAATCCATCGTTTGTGAGACGGGTACATATTTACATGTGGTTGGAACTAAGGGTTTGTCTCAGCAGCAGACAAAGTTGGATATGATCTAAGTTATCCGTTTGGACACGAGGGGGAGGGGACAGTCGGCAGAGAGACTGTTTGGAGCTGCCCTGTTAAACAGGAGGAGAATGAGTGGCTACTCAGGGGAGGGCAGAGGGGAGCTGGTGCTGTACAGGACACTTGACACGGAACGCGATTACCATTCTGCTCCTGTCTTCTAACCCGTTTGTTGCCCTCCTCTTCAGAAGGAAGACAGGCTGCCCAGGTGACTCTCAAAACAGCCAATGGGAAAGCAGAAAGCAGCAGCAGCAGCAGCGAGGAGTCTGATGAGGAAAAGGTTGCCAAGGTAAACGGTGACACAAGTCTGCATGACTGTTGCTGAGAAAAAATGGAGTCTCTGGCCCGGGTCTAAGGCTTCTGAGAAGCATCAAATCATTCTAGCTTTGTGCAAGATCTTGATGGGGCTGTGTGTCTTAGGAACTCACCGCTGCTGGGAGGGCCAGGAAACCCTTTATAGCTCCTGCACGTTGCATTCTCTGTATTTCTTGCCTTTCTGTGGCCAGATGTGCTACTCTGCCATCCTGACACATTCCTGCATGGCTTCTGCAGTGCCACTGGAGGAGTGCCAGAGCAACTTCCCTGAAAGGGAGCTGGGTCCCAGCAGATACCTCAGTGCTAATGTCTCTGCAACCCAGGTGCCTCAGCTCCCCCTCCAGCTGCCAGTGTTGGCTCTCCCCCCTCATCTCGCCAGTCTCCCACCTAGGACTTCAGGGCGTGGGGAGAAATCCTCACGCAATGAAGCCTGTAAGGTGCTCCCAGTGAATAGGGCAGAGCGGTGAAGGGGGGGCGGTCTCCAGTGGAAGAGGGGCTTTGGGGCAGCCTCTTTCCCCAAGCTCATCTCCTTACCAAGGAGAGGTATTTGTCTTCCTTGCAATAAGGCTGTTCCCAAGAAAACACCAGCGCTCAAACCTGCGGCCACCCGGGCACCCCCAGGGAAAGCCAAAGCCCCTGCCAAAGAGAGCTCCAGCAGTGAGGACTCTTCCGACAGCTCGGAGGATGACAAGCCAGCTCCAAAATCCAAGCTGAAGCCTGGTGAGTGCTAAAATCCATGGCTGGCCCAGCGGAGAGGAGGCGTCTGCCGCTGCTAGCCGGAGGGAGGGGTAGCTGCCTGTCGGCTTGCTGTGGCCAGAAGGTTGAGTGATGGCAGCAAGCGGGGACTTGCGGGGACTGTTGTATAGCTGTGCCCAGGTGAGACTGGGCTTCCACCGCAGCCCTAGACCCTCCCTGTGCTGGTCGCATCTCTCCTGTGGCCATGGTCTCTGAGCTCTGCCCCTCCGAGCTGTTGGAGGCCGTTCTCCAGAGGCCCAGCACCTTGCACGGAAGCGTGTGAGGCAGGACACTGATGCAGGGGGGATCCCATGAGGGGCAGTTGATCTAACCTGAGAAGCAGGCTGTGAACGGGGGAGGGGTTTCATTGCCCACAGGCTCGCTGAGGTGTAGAGCAAATGACCAAGAGGAAGAGTTCCTTGGCAGCCCTCCCAAGGTGGCTAGAGAGCTGGCTGGGTGAGGGTGGATTAGGCCACCCAAATCGGAAAGGGGGGAGTTTGCTATTGGGAGACCCAGCAAAGGGGAGTGCTGCTGGCTGCAGGCGTTGGGAATGGCAGTAAGGGCATAAATGGCTTGTTTCCTAGCGTCGCCCAGCTAAAACGGCATGATGCGTGCCACCTGTGCCATGCAGGGCTGGTGTGTCTGCGTGTGGCCCTCCTGCTCACCCTGTCCCTCTGTAGGTCCATACAGTGCCGTGCCACCCCCTCAGGCGACTGACCCAAGAAAGGGCAAGGCAAAGCCTGTTGCAAAGGCTCCTGGGAAAAAAGCCGAGAGCAGTGACTCCTCAGACAGCAGCTCGGACAGCAGCGATGAAGAGGAGCAGGTGCCCAAGAAGGGAGCAGCAGGTGTGTTATGGGGCGAGGGAGGTTTGGAAGGGGCCATGTTAGACAGCTCAGGAAATGCCCGTGCAGGGTGGCTTTTGAAATTGCCCCCCAATTATGGATTGGGCTGCTGGCTTTGCCTTTGCAGAGGTCTCCAAGCAGCTAGTGTCTGTCCCAAAACAGGCACTAGAGTTCCAGACTGGGTCAGTCCCAGCTCTGATTTTTGACGCAGTAGGTCAAATGAGCACTCTTGGAATTCCGCTTACTTTGGCGGATTTATGCCAGGGATGCATCTGGCCCATCGCTGCAGTTGGCAAAGGCCTTGCTTTTGGCTCATGTATTGTGGGAGTGGAACTCCCTTCTCTGTCTGCCCCTATGTGTGCTGAGTAGGGGCATGTGGGGTGCCTGTAGTGTGCTGTGCAAGGGGACGAGGAGCCCTGGTGTCTGCCTGCGTGAGGCAGTTAGGAATCCCAAGGGCTGGGAGTCGAGTCCTGAGTGGGTTGCAGTGCTGCCCACAGAGGAACTGCTAGTCTCTTCTGTCCAGGGGGCTCGTGCCCTTCCCTCCTCTGTGAAGCTCTTCAGCATCCCTGAAAGAGAAGGGCTGGAGGAGTGCGGGAGATTCACCGTCGTTCTTTCTCCTGCAGCCAAAGCAAGTCTGGCCAAAAAAAAACCTGCCGCAACACGCCCAGCTGTGACCAGCAAGAAGGGTGGCTCCAGTTCGGACAGCGACTCGGGTGAGTGAGGGAGCAGGGGTTGCATCTTTCTCTGCGCGTCTCCTTCCAGCCTGTGTCACTCAGCAGCAGCCCACCCTCCTCTTTGCCAGGCCCTTAGCGAGAGCGAGTCTGAGCTCCCTGCAGGGCCCCTGGCAAGGTGAGGCTCTGAGTGCTGCAGCCTCCTGTAGTGACTTGGGGAGAAGCAGGAGGGAGTAGGGCACACAGAAGAGTGATTTGTCCAGGAGGCCCTGCAGCTTGCAGGGGCAGGATTAGCCCTCCTGAACCTCGGGCTGGATTAGCCATTCTTTGCCATTTCCCGGCTCCTCAGCTCCTCCCTCAGTCATGGCTGGCATGAGGCAGGCAAAGCTGCGGCTTTATAAGACGACCATTGACAGGGTCCCTGGTGAACTCACTCGCTGATATACCCTGGAGCGCACTGACACTGGCGCGTGTGCTTATCTTGCGCAGATTCCAGCTCTGAGGAAGAGAAGGCAGCGACCAAGCTCCCTGCCAAATCGCTCGCGGCGAAGGGGCCTGCCAAGCCAGGACAAGCAAAGAAAGGCTCCAGCTCCTCTTCGGACAGCTCAGGTATCGGGACGGGATGGGGTGGGGATCTCACCCCTACCACGACTGAGCAGGCACAAGTGCCCTTCCTACCCTAGGTCTTTGTTCCTGTCCATGGTACCCGGGGACGGGGCACAGGGATGCTGTCTAGTCTGACAGGCCTGATGTTTGCTGACCGGTTCTTGATGGTAAAAGCTAAGCAGGGAGAACCCAACCCCGTGCTAACTGCCAGTTCTCTTGGGCATGACGCGTGGCGAAACAAGTACCCAGTAAAGCCCCTGCATGGCTGCGGCAGAGCTGAAATGCTGGGTACCGCGGAGCTGCGTGGCATGTTTGTCTGTTGAAGGAGCAGCCGTTTGGGGGCTGAAGTTTAGTCTCTAGTGGGGAGACGGGATGGAGGAGGGCAGGCCCATCCCTAACCCATTTCCACAACAGCCACCAGCCATGTTAGCGCTTGTGAACCCTGCTAGAGAACTGCTTGACAGCAGCTAGTGCCGTGTGCAGCCTTGAAACCGCCCCCCTCTGTTCTGAGCCTTGGTGGCGTTGCTTTCGGTACTAGCGGCCCGTTCCTGAGGCTCTTTGGCCACGTTGCTGGGCTCACTCTTGTTTGGCAACATCTGTGGTTCGGTTGCTAGCGGGCAGGCGTCTGTCGCACCCGCTCGTCCCCCCCCATGGCAGTCTGAGCAGAGGTAAAGCCTCACTCGGGTCGTGGAGACTGAGCGTTGTTGGCGGGTCAGAGTTGAGATGGGCGTGCGGAGGAGACGGTGCCCACGTCTGCCTGAAGCAGAGCCCGTAAGGCTGAAAGGCTGTAGCTCTGCACTTTCACAGAGTGCCAAACCGAGCAGGGCTTGCCTAGATACTAGCATGGAAGGGACTCCAGTCGCTGCTCCTGCTTGTCCAGTTTGGTCTGGTTGAACACGTCTCTTGGGTGCATGGGTGGCCTCACTGGAATCTGTTGGAAACTTCCTTCCCAGATTCCGACAGCTCCGAGGATGAGACCCCTGCAAAGCCTGCAGTCAAACCAGCTCCGCCTGCCACAGAGAAGCCGCCTGCTGTGACAAAGAAAGCCCAGAGCAGTTCGGATTCCGACAGCAGCTCGGAGGAGGAGAGAGCCCCTCCAGCTAAGCCAGCCAGCAAGCTAGCTAAGCCAGCGTCCAAACCCTGCACCCCGGGCCCCAAAGCCAGCAGCTCAGATTCTGACAGCTCAAGCAGTGAGGAGGAGCAGAGCAAACCAGCAGTGAAACCAGCCAGCAAATCACCCGCAGGGAAGAAAGTGGCTGGCACCCGCAGGGAAGAAAGTGGCTGCTGCTAGTAGCAGCAGCTCCTCTGACAGCTCCAGTGATGAGGAGGAGAAGCCCAGAACGGCAAGGACGCCGGGCGCTGGGCTGAAACCAGGGAAGGGGGCTCAGAACAACTCCGGCTTGGTAAAAGAGAAACCCAAGGCTTCATCTACACCTGCAGCCAAATCGCCAGCCACAAAGAAGCCAAAGGCCAAGCCAGCTGGTAGCAGCCAGAGTAGCTCGGAGAGCTCCAGCGAGGAGGAGGGAAAAGCAAACGCAGGTAAACTCTGCTGGCCAGGCAGGGCGCTAGGGGGTAGGGATGTAAAATCCCGGTTCATTTCCTGACCAGTGCGGACGGGAGCAGCCCCTACCTGTGACGTGCCCGGGGCTGCCAGCAACCATCTCCACACACTAGAGGGTGGTGTCCAGGAGTTCCTTATCCAGTGCTGCTCTCACTGGCCATGAGCAGTGTTCCCTGTAAGCTGGGGGCTTGGGCAGCTACCCAGGAGAGATTCAGGTGCTGCCCAGCTGATTTGCAGAGCACCCACAGCCGGGAGCCTTTGTCTCTATTGGTGCACGTCCACCTTGGCACACATCACAACGTTTAGTCCACACAGGACGGATTAAAATAGAGGGAATATGTGTCATGCCCGGAGTGCCTGTCCCCGCTTACCGCAGTCTGCCCTGGGCCCCCATGGGGAGAGACGCTGCCCCCCGCTCCCAGGT